CAAAACCCCCAAAATTTTCAAATCCTTAATCATACCAAACAAAATTTGTCAAATGCAGACCAAATTCATTTCATATTAGCAAACATTAAAAAATGATACAAAGTATCTTTCAATCTCTCCTTTGTAGCTTCTGTATGAATTCCTGCTAAGGATACCTACATGTTCCATAACCTGAACAATAATTAAAAATAAGTAAGAGATAATTAGGTTTTTTCTTTTTTTTTGGGCGGCCAAGAGATAATTAGTTATTGAAGAATAAATCAACCTTTAGTTCTCTTGCACATTTATCCCTAACCTTTTAAAATTGAACATTTGGTAATTAACCTTTTAAAAATTACAATATAGTTCCTTTCATCATTTTCTTTGGTTAACTTTGACATCAATAAAAGCTTAGTTGACACTAGAATTGTGTATCTGACAGCTCTTCTCGCTTCTTTTTTCTTTTTATTTTTTCTCCTTTGTTGTGATCTATATAATTGTAAACGTAATGTTTTATAATTGGAAAAATATTAAAGAAATGTCAATTTCTATAATAAGAAAGTAAGAAAAAAAATTAATAAAATATTAAAATTTATTATTGTTGGATTGTAATATTTATATATTAAATTTAAATTGCTTTTTAATATTTGTTTTTTAAACAGATTTAAATATTAAATTTTGTTTTTGAAAGTGTGAATTGTAGGGACTAGTAGACGACAGTATTTTGAACATGAAGAAAATTGGTCACGTACCTGGCCTGCCGCATAATATTAGACAAAATTAGCATAATTGATCGCATATTCACATGGATATTATACCTAGCAAACACATCAGGTTACTTTGGATTTACTCTTTATTTTTTATTTTTTTATTTTATTATCTTAATTACACAATGGAAGGCAACCATCTTCTATTCTTTATCTCATTTCACTCGCATATCATGCGATTCGAACTCAAGATTTTTTACTTTCAGCAGAAAGAGATAATAATTGAATTATTTAAATCGTTGACATTTTTGGCACTTTGGATTTATAGCTTGACATTCACAATGGCCGATATATATATACTTTTTTTTTCAAATTTTGATTTTGTTTTACACTACTTTGTGCAAACTTTTTTTATTAGCAAAATTTTATATTAAACTTTCAAATTTACCTCAACTCTCAATTAAGTTTTAAAGTTTTATAAAAGTAAATAAATCTTTAAATTTAGTAATTAGAGTAATTTAATTTTTTTATGGTAGATTTAATATTTGTTTATGCATAATTTGTATGGACAAAGTATAGATGTATTATTAATTACATAATAAGTATTGATTTTATTCATACAAGTAAGACATACAAATGGATGTTAAATTTGACATGTGAAAAAGGGCAAAATTATCTAAATTGTCAAATTGAAAAATTTATTTGTTTTAATAAAAGTTTTAAGACTTAATTGAAAATCTAGGATAAGTTTCGGGCTTAACATAGGGTTTTGCTAACTTTTTTTTTTTATCAAATATCAAGGTTGTTGAGGGCAACCCAAGAGTAGCCTGCATATCGGATGTCAAAGTTGCTGGGTGTATTCCACTTGAGTTCACTTATATGGTTAAGGAGTCATTTAAATCAAAATAATAATGTATATTTAAATTTATTTAATGTTATTTGAATATAAATAATTTTAATAAATTATATCTGTCACATTTGAAGATGAACTTTTATCCATGATAAGGTTTGGAGAAGTACTTATGAAATTAATTTGGGTAAAATTTTACTCTATCTGTTTAATTTTAATAAATCTAGTTTCTTATTTAGAATGTTCAAATTTAGCTTTCAATTTTTTTTTAGAATGTCATTTAATACATTTATTTTTATTTTA